ACGGGATGACACGGAGAACGAGATGTTGGGTTTCGTAAGGACGTAAGAGGATGACGAAGGTGTGCTCTCAGAGATTCTCCCTTTATGTGAATAAAGCTCTTCAGAGTCGCTCTTTTGCTTCATCTCCCTCATCCCTCACTCACTATCACTATTTAAAGTGTTAAGACAACAGGGTGGTGTTTCTTGATTGATCAGAGTCTGAGGTGACTCTTAGCCCAAAAATATTCAGTTTTCTCTGATTTAAAATAAGGATTAATGGCAGATTCTCACATTTGAGAAGCTGGAAACATCAAACTTTAAGCTCCTCCAGTGTAAAGGTCTGTGTCCATGTGTAGTGTGATTATAGATCAGGTCTAGCTTCTATATTAATACTGTGAAAGTATCAAAGCCTCAGTCCACAGAGAAATGCACACAGCCTGTATTCAGAAACTGAGCCTTAAAACCAGCCGTCAGGACTTCTGGAACTTTGTGATGTCACAACAAAGCAGTCACCAAGCCCCGCCCACCTGGACCCACCATCCAAACCTTGCAGGATTTGGTTTCCAAAAACTGTGAAGACACAGAATAACTTTAAGAAGTCAGTAACAACCGGTTTGTCGTTTGACAGACAGTCGTTCTGTTTCCAGCTCTTAAGCTTTTCTCAGTTTTTACATTGTAAATTAAAGTAAAGTACATTTTTTACAGACTTAAAAAATGAATCATTAATCCATAAAATAAGCAGCAGATTGATCAATGATGATAATAGTTGCGGTTCTGATAATCTGCCCTGTGGATCTTCTCCATTACTCTCCGATCCTCGTCTTTGACAGCAGGTATGTCTGAATATGAACCAACGGCCTCTTGACACCGGGGGATAATTGATGTGTTTTGCCACAACAAACCACTTTGATTAAACGTTAAGAGTGATGTGATGCAGCGAGCAGCGACACGCCAGCCGGAGAGTGTTACATGAATATCTGGAGCCTGAGTCACGCTGCCTGCGTCGAGCTTCAGGAAAACAGCACACGGATCAACGTGGTTTAAATTTAGAGCGCCGCTCGCAGACGAGCACACTCAGCATGTTGCAGTGAAGGGGAATTTTAGGCCAAACGGAGACGGTGAGATGTGGAGGGAAGATTGCGTTAGACTTTCAAAATCAGCATGCAAGGAGCGCGTGTGTGTGTTCGTGTGTGTGTGTGTTTAACTGTAGATGCGATTTAACACACAGTTTGATCTTTTCCACAATGACAGCAAACCTCCCCCCAACTCCCCCCCCCCCCCCCTCCCCTCACACCCACACCCACACACACGATCCTCCCTGCTATTAATAGACTCAGTGTAAAACAGAAGGACTCCAAAAATAAAGGAATGAACTTTTTACCCCAAACAACAATACGACTGGTTTCTGGTTCACAGACAGAGAGAGCGACTGTTGAGAGAGAGAGAGAGAGAGATGGAAATCAGCCATCTCACGCAGTCCTCAGCTGCTCCCTCCCTCTCTCTCCCTTCCACTACGCCAATTATTTTCCAACACGCTGAACCTCAGAGAGAGAGAGAGAGAGAGAGAGAGAGACAGAGAGAGACAGAGAGACAGAGAGAGACAGAGAGATTGACTGTGTGAATGTGTCTGTCAGAGGTGGAGAACGTACTCAGATCCTTCACTTTAAGCACATGTGCCAGTACAACACTGTAAAAACACAATAATCGAGCCAAAAGTAAAAGTCCTGCGTCCAAAAAGTTTACTTAAAATACACAAGAATATGGAGTTCAAGTATCAAAAGTAAAAGTACTCACTACAGACATTATATCTTTACATTAGTATTACTCATGCATTAATATTCAAGCAGCATTTAACTCTTGGAGCCAGTTTAAAACTCTGCTGAAACTGATGGAGAATAAAATCGTAATTTTGAGAATAAAATCCCAATATTACAAGAATAAAGTTGTAAAAAATATAGCAGATTTCAGGTCAAAAATACTCAGAGAAACCACATCCTGCAAGGTTTGGATGGTGGGTCCAGGTGGGCGGGGCTTGGTGACTGCTTTGTTGTGACATCACAAAGTTCCAGAAGTCCTGACGGCTGGTTTTAAGGCTCAGTTTCTGAATACAGGCTGTGTGCATTTCTCTGTGGACTGAGGCTTTGATACTTTCACAGTATTAATATAGAAGCTAGACCTGATCTATAATCACACTACACATGGACACAGACCTTTACACTGGAGGAGCTTTAAACTCATATCATATATATGGTTGAGTATTTTAAGTCTTTGTTTTGTATGTAAAATCTTAATTTGTAAAGCAACTAACTGCAGCTGTCAGATAAAATGTAGAAGAGTAAAAACTGAGTAAATGTACTGTTAGCACCACTGTTAGCTTCTATGCTGTGCCCAGCCAGCAGGGACAAACAACTAATCAGTGACATGTGGCAGTGGTATTCCTTGGCAGGACACTCTGCATGTCTCTGTGTCGGAGCGCCGGGGAAGGTGTGGGGGTTGGAGGGGGGTGAGGGACAGGGGGAGTCAGGCTCTCCTGACAGACAGGAGGTGGATGGACAGCTGTGAATGGCCACCATGTGATTCACTCCATCACTGCCTCCTACTGTACCGGGGACTTTCAGGAAGCCCGCTCTTTAATCTTTTTTAGATCTACCTGGAACTGGACTCGACATCGATTTCGAAACAAGAAACGCTGAGGCGGCAGAACCCGACTATTTCTAACTGAACGTAGCTAATGAATGATTTACGGCTATAAAAAGGCCAGCGAGGCATTAAGGCTGCTAAATTAACAATGGATCAAATGACGACGTGTAACGTGAGAGGCGTCGGTCTTAAAGATGAACCTGTGGAGAATTATCAACCATTATTGTTTTGGATCGGTGTCAACAGGTTCTGATAAAAACCTCACTGTCCACAACCTGCAGACAGACTCAGTCAGAGAGCAGCTGCTGAACACGGAGGAGCATTTAGCAGCTAAAGAGCCAGATATTTCCCTCAGGAACCGGTGGAGACCAAACATGGAGCTAAAAGAGAGAGAGGGGGAACACTGGACACTGTCCAGACACATTCATCACATCAACTTTATAAGCTGATAATACGTCAGCGCTGTGTTTAAAGCTCATTGCGCCGTGTCCAGGTGATTCACAAATGACAAAAATCAATGTTTGTAATTTACGTTGACGGAATGAAAATAGCAAAATTCAACTGCAAGAGCACGATGCAGCAACAACAACGTTTATCCCCAGAGAACGGTTAGGGCGCATATTACATGGGCTATATATGACCTGAGCAGCGAGCCCCCGGTTTGCTGCACGACATTCCCCTTCCCTTTCCCCTCCATTTCCTCTCTGTCTCGAGGACGCAATCCAATAGAGGCGTGAAGTGGCCAAAAAATAACTTAAAACAACGCCAAGACTCAGAATCTGTATCCAACTAAATCATACGATTCCCAAAGATTCCCAACCTGAACTGTCGGAGTCAAAGATCAAAATTAATTAAACTGTACATATTCCTTATCAAAAACTGATGCCTACATTACCCACAATGCAACCTGACCACCTCGGTTGGGTGGGAGACTGGGTTACAGTGTTGTTCTAGTGGGTGCTAATGTATCCTGGAGCCTGTAGCGTGTAGCGGAGATGAGGGAGCCTCTGTCACTTCAGGACACTATGAAAATCAGTTTGCCACCAAGTGAAAACATCTAGTTTTAAGGTTTATTTATTTATTCATCACGGTGAATATTCCTGAATAAATGTGAGCTAATTCCAGTAACAATGAGCAGCAGCAAGTGGGAGAAACCTGCAGCGACTTGAAACTCGCTGACAGAAAAGTAATCCATCAAAGTCGTATGTTTTCATCGAGAATTACCTTGTGGTTTGTAATGATGAAGCCGGTTATATGGATGATTTGGAAAACTCTGCCTGAGGTGCATTCAGAGACAAGCCCAAAGTTTCAGGATTAATTTACACTTTTCTTTAATACAAGACGTTTGTTATGTGAATTTAAGCTTTTTAGCCCACGAATGCAAAACTTTTTGACTGTCAAATCTTAGATGTTGTGGATCCAGGGTTTGACAGCGATGAGCCCCTGAACACACCATTTCCATAAAGGTCCTGCTTGCCACAGCATTACCAAGCAAAAGTAATGTAAATTTAACAACTAGCTGATGTAGGGCTTTATCAGTTATTTTATTGATTCATTTTTTTGGTTGAAAAAATGTGAAAAAAAATATTAATATTAATAATTAAGTGTTTATTTTGACCAACCAACAGTCCAAAAAAAAGAAAATGTTTGATGTTTTTGCTCAAAAAGTGACATAAACATGTCGGTTTAACAGTTTCAGCTCTACTGTGTATAATAATAATTATAATAATAATAATATAATAAGAAGGAGTTGTATTTTGTTTTTCATTTACATCATGTTCAGCGCATTAAAGCCTTGCCGACCTCTTTTCTGACCTTCCTCACAGACTGTGTGAGGTCAATGAACTCTGGAAGTATTAGCGAAAGATACCGGAAGCAGATAAACTGATTTATTAATCACTCGGCTTGATACAGATAATCCTAATGATGAAGCTTCGTCCTCTTCATGGCTACGGCTCTCGATGTCTGTGTAACCACATGACAGTCACTGAAACCCTCAGTAATATACAGTAAACACCAGATTTCTGGCTGCCGGCAGGTACTGGATTTACAGCTCGGCTCTGTCTGAGCCCCTCCGACTGAAGGCTACAGCGCTTTGAGAGCTGCCTTTACTGCTGTGGAGAGGAGCGTGAAGTGTGTTAAATGGAGAACAGTCGGACCGGCAGTCGAGTTTGAGGCTGCGTTTGTGGCGGTAAACATCGGCATTTATAGATTACACGCCCGTAAACACAGAATTCCCCCTGGGTAAAAAAATGAAGTGAACATGAGCAGTTGGATAAAGGCTAATAGATGATTTCTAAACACGCGTGTGTTATCAGAGCCACACTGAGTTAACAAATGTTTGGATGTTTGATACGAGGCAGAAAAATGTGATGACAGATTTTCAAAGCGTCTCATCAACTTTAAACAAACAAATAGAGGCTAAATTACTGGTCAAAGTCGCTTTAAAAGGTCTGAGATGCAGACGCAGGTAACCTGATCTAATGCATGTGGTTTGGTGAGGGACACCCCTCTATAAGCAGTGAATGAGTCAGTCTGTGGCACAAACACCACATGCTCAGCATAAGTGACTGATATCACAGTGACAGTGTCTTCGAGGGCACAGTCTCTTCAAACAAACGCCTGATGCATCTGTCTGGATCTCCAGAGTTCAGAGATACAGAGACGTTCAGACAGTAATGCATTCGCTCTTTCAGACCTTTTCTCTTGTATTATTTCAGTTTAGAGCCGAAACAATAAGCGGATTAATCAATCAACAGGAGATAAATCAGAAAGTGTTTCAAACACTGCAGTCGTTCATCAATCAACAAGACCAAACGAGGATTTGGACTGAAAACAGGCCTGGATTACAACATCGCTGGTCGGGGCGTGTTGCTTCAGGTACAAATAAGTCAGTGAAAGTTCAGAGCTGATTAACAGGTGAACGTTCATCACATTCGAGTAGAAAAATCATGACCTGAGTGTTTCTAAAATCCCAGAGAAAGATTAACAAAACCGGATTACCAAACCTGGCAAAACCTCCACAGGCAAGTTTCCTCAACTTCCACTGAAGTACAATATGGACCGTGATGCGTCGTCCGTCCCGTGGCGCCCGGGGACCAGTGTCACAAAGACATGTGGGACTGGTGCGTAGTGTTGGTCCCGTCCTCACTCTGCTCATACATCAGTCTAATGCAAGTCGGACCAAAAATAAAGACTGACTCATTTTAAGACAAAAAACATTAGACACCTTACACCAAGACTAACTCAGGCCTGAGACCAATGTTGTTACCATGGTAACAACCAATGACACCATTTTCCAGAGTGAATCTTCCTTGTAAATGTTGAATTTTGCAAAAAAGACAAACATTTTCTCCTGAAGCTTCACGGATCTTAGCCGTTTCCTTGGTCAGCCATTTTCTATTTCTTTTTATTTCTTTAATTTACCCAGAATTCATTGTACCACAGCCCGGCTTAAGATAGTCGAGAACTAAACGGCTTTGTGCGACGGATGAATTCAGAGTCCAACAGTTTGTTATATCTAAGCCTCAGTCAAAGTCTTTGTGAAGCCCCTGTGTCAAAATCTGAATTAATTCTTTTACATTTAGTTGACGCCTTCGGTTGTAAAGTTGTAAAGTTGTGTTTTATCAAACTGGTTTAATTTTTTCTGTAAGTAAAGTAATTAAACAGAAAGCCTCAACATTATCAACATGTCTGACAGTTATCTTCTTTAATAATTAATTGATTAATCAGTGTGTAAAATGTCAGAAAATACTTAAATGTCCATTATTATTCATTGAATCCAAAGTCAACGAATTCAAACTGCTTCATTTTGTCTCACCAACAATAACAGAGCAGAAGATCTTTGAGTTTATCATCACAGGAAACTGAGAAACTGGAAATATTCACATTTTTAGAAGCTGGTGCCAGTGAAAAAACTTCCTAAAAACTATTGATCAATTATCAAAATTGCTTTCATATCATCTCCAGAGTGCTGGTTGTGTTCTGGCTGCCTGAGGACATAATGAAACTGCCATTATCAGGAGGTCAACAACAGCCCCAGGATGTTATTCCAGCCACGCTGCAGATAAACACCTTCAACAGCCTGTGGATGGAGGAGAAGCTGCACATTAACTTACTTCTCTTACCGGCCTCAAGTCAAGTATCACACCCGTGTTTTCACTCCTCGTGCGTCACCATGGTCCGGCCGTGGCACAAAAGTTCCCCCCGACTGTTTTCCTCCAGTTTCTGCCCGGGACGAAGCCTGTTCACCGAGCTGCGGCTCCGGGTTTCGAACTGAGCTACACCCGCCTACAAACGAGACGCTGGAGCTGAAGTCTGGACACAAGTTGTCCAAACCCAGAGACGGACTCGGGGACTCGGAGCCGGTTCAGCTTCAGGACAAATCCTCAGACTGGAGGAGAAGAGGGATTGCGCCGCTTCTGTTTGTTTCCTGTTGTTTATCAAGCCCGCACGCCCCGCATCCCTTTCTCTCTCTCTCTCTCTCTCTCTCTCTCTCTCTCTGTGTGTCACACACACACACACTCACACACACACTGTCCTGACTGGAGCTTACCTCCGCGCTGGCTTCAGTCCTGCATGTCTTCTTCTTCTTCCCGTGACTTTTCTCTGCGTGTCTCTCTCTCCGTCCAGCGGTTCACTCCATCGGTGAGTCTCCTCCTGAGGGGCAGCACGCGCTTCTCTCAGGCGTGTCAGCGAGCACCTGGTGGAGCGTCAGAAGGCGGCAACATCACACGCACACGCGCGCAGAAACACACGCGCGCACACACACACACACACATACACACAGAGGAAAGACGTTAAAGCTCTCAGATAAAAACAGAAATATTTTGTGCTTTATAAAGAGCAGAGAAACTAAAATTTCTCCTAAGGTGTATTTTATTTTAATTTGAATTCATATTTTCAACAGGTATAAAGTCTACAAACTATTTCATGTCTATTGTACCCATGTGTTTCATGCTCTACCGCTCCCCAGTGGAAACTATTAAAAATGCAACTTCACTCATTATTACATCCGTTCATCTGCTCCTTTGATAATATGTTACATAGGCTACAAGGTATATGTACAATAAATAATAAATATGTAAAAGGATATATACAAATAATACATTTCCATACGTGAAATATATGTACATATATGTAAAAATTATATATGAAATCTATTAGAAGTTGAAACAATTTCATGTATTACATATATTATTATTATTATTATTATTATTATTATTGTTAACGTACGTATGCTTATATTGTAGACATATGTCGTACATAGCCATTACAAAAGATGTCAGTATGTTGATATAATATATATACAGTGAATACAAAATACAGAATGTGTGAAATTAATAAGAAAAACATTTATAACTTTTTTAATTTAAATTCAAAGTTAGGCAGTATGTTGTTTTGATTCATTTGCATTTATAAATTAAATATACATCCTTAAAAAATATGTTATATTGTATACAAAGTAAAACTGTCTCCTGTGACTGATCTGTGATTCTTTTAACTACTTTTCAGTTTGGACTTTTCTCTAATCTTTGATTATGTTGCAAAGTATCTATCTATCTATCTATCTATCTATCTATCTATCTATCTATCTATCTATCTATCTATCATCATGCGTCATTCAGGGGTGTGATGGAAGGCCAAATAAGGAGAATGAGGAGATGAGGAAGTAGTGGAGGGCAGAAAACAGAGAAGCTCTAAGACAAACCACAAATTAAGCAACTCTAATGTGTTTCCCCTTGAAACCAACACAACCGTGACGTATGCGGCTGTGGGTGGGTCAGTGGAAAGTATGATGACAAGACAAAGGTCATCGCCAAACATCTTTCAGATACTAAGAAAGATCTTCTGACTCCTTTTTCCCTGCTTTTAGTGCATTGTGAATTTATATTGTTTTGGCTACATGAGGACAGTGAAACAAAACCATGAGCAGAAAGCTGATGTAGCAAACAACAACAACAACAACAACAACAACCTGTTTACCCATCCAGCACAGTCACAGGTGAGTCCACCTGGTAGATCTCAGTCCGGTGTTCCCTCTCTTTTAGCTCTGTGTTTGGTCTCCACCAGCTGCTCTTTAGCTGCTAAACGCTCAACCGTGTTCCCCAACACAGTGAGCTGAAAGATGCTAAAATGCTCCGTAGAGCTGATGGTAACTGTAGAGTTGGGGATAATTCTCCGTGGGTTCATCATACATTGTGATTTGACCTATTGGTAATTTAAAAATATTGACTAGTGTAGCTTTAATGCTCCATTAGTGCTCAACAGTTACTAAATACAGTAAAAACATACAGGATTTTGCTCCAATCATCTGTAAAATATAATCTAATGCATGAGTATATTTATATTTCATATATATAATATACTTACAGAGATTTTGTAATATAAAAATTACTCTCCATTAGCCTGTTACACTGTATATCAACAGTATCAGGCACAATCCCATTTTATTGTCTATTCACATGACGAGTTGATAACTCCCCAGATTATTAGCCCAATGTCTTGCATTATTAAATTTATCTATTGATCTTTTTGCATTTAATGTGGAAAAACAAGCAAAATTACGATCAAGAAACAACATTCAAAAACAGTTAAATGTGGGTGTTTGTTCTTTACTTTAGAAACATTAATGTCGACTCTGAAATGCAGTTAAAAAGTTTAATTTCCATTGATGCCAACAACACAAAGACCGACTATTAAGATACTTTTATACTTGTACAGGATTTTTCTGCAGCACGTGACATTGGTTAGAAATGTCTGGTATTCCTTATAGAAAAGAGCATTGTTTGCATCATAGAAACAGCTGCAATGCACATAACGATGGCGTTAATGGTCGTCTTAAAAGCTGAATAAATTTGTGTTTGTCAAATTCAGAAGACAAAATTCAGAGACACACACAACCATAAGCAGAAAACTCAACAATTCCCTAACTGTTCTGTTCTTAACTCATAATTTATTCAACCCAGAGGAAATCTTCAGCCTGTGGCAACATCCGGTGCCTTTGGAAAATAACGCCAAATACAATCAACCTCATTTATTCTTTATCCAAAGAGCTCAAAGACATCACATGCTTCAGATATCAATAACAACCACGCCTGCTGTGTCGGGGAAACAGCAGGATATGAACAGAACACTCTCAATAGAAACTGAAAATCTAAGACTGTGTTATAGAACAAATTATAATGTCAATCACTCACTACAACAAACACGGGTACTGCCTGACAAAAAGAGCAACATTTAAAGCTGCACTAATCAATATTTTTATATCAACAATGGATCAAATGACTGTGTAGTTGTGAAAGGTGTCGCTCCGCACTGACGAACCCACAGAGAGTTATCACCAGGCATCGCAGTAACCTTCAGCTTTACGGAGCTTTTTAAAATCTTTCAGCTCTTTGTTTTGGTTTTACAACCACTGTCACCGCTCTCATCAGATGTTGGGCTGATATATAATGACGTCACGCTCAAAGCAAAAGTGATTGATCATCCCAAATGAGGCCTTGTTACGTCAGAGAGGTGTCACACATGCAGGTGAACTTGTGAGTCGTAAAAGTCAGCTTAAAGGTGATCAGGTTTTAATATAAACAAGCTTTACAATATTATATATAGATATTAATAATGAGAGCAGTAAGACCTCTGACTGACTCTTTCATCAAGGTCTCAGATTTAATCCATGTGGCCAACAGGTGTCACCATTTTGACGGTGTCAGATTCTTTGAGACAGTGAACCAGTCTCAACACAACGGCTTCAGAAAGTGTCGTTTCCCACATCACTACTCATATTAACTTATCGCGGACGGATAAAGTGACGACAAACGTTGTAAAACTGTTTGAAGTCTCTCTTTAGGAGCTAAAGAGCCAGATGTTTCCCTCAGGAGCTGGTGGAGACCAAACACGGAGCTAAAAGAGCGGCAACACTGGAGAAACACGACTTAAAGTCAAAGCTGATGTTGCTCCATGTCTGCTGCATGAGCAACAAGTCAGCATTCGGTTTCTCCATCTCCAAGACTTTTTGCCGCCCAGTGATCACGTTTCCCTTCGTCTGTCCACCATCATTCAGCCATATTCCAAGACTTCACACCCACGCATCGTCCGTCACCGTCCACTCACCAGTGCTTTCTGCTGTATCTTCACCTGGAAGGTTCCCCAGCAGCTCCAGCTGTGGGTTAGCTCAGTCAATCCCTTGTATCAAACAAGAAAAAAAGGATTTTTTTTTTTTTTAAAAAAAGGAAAGAAAGTGAAAGAAAGAAGTTGATATTAAGCCAGACCAGCTGGCTTAGAAGAGAGGGGGACCCAGAGCTGGGCTGCGTTAGGATCTGAGCTCTCTCGACACTGAGCAGAGGTAGTCTACAGTGATCAGACCCTGACGCTCAAACACCGCCCCCTCCCTCCCTCCCTCCCTCCCTCCCATCATACTCACACACACACACACACACACACACACACACACACACCCATCTCTCTCTGTTACACTCACAGTCGTACACTCATACCCTGTGACCCCCTGTGTCCGAGCTGGACGTCTGTGGAGGAGCCCGATCACCTGTCGCTGCCACTCGCGGTATATTTAGGTCTGAGGTGTCAATGATGCTGCCTGTATGTGTGTGTGTGTGTGTGTGTGTGTGTGTGTAAGTGTGTGTTTAAATATGTGTGTGTTTGAATGTGTGTGTGTGTGTGTGTGTGTGTGTGTGTGTGTGTGTGTGTGTGTGTGTGTGTGTGTGCGGGAGGGAAAAATGTGTTGCTGACACTCAGGGCCTCTGTGGGCCTTGGTGTAAGAGCCCAGGATTACTGCTCCAAAGGCCGTCGGCTCTACACATTACACACAGGGGGAGAGAGAGAGATCAAACCTGTGAGCTCGTCCTAGATATCAGCGCACAGAGCATCTGCTTGGCGGAGGATTACCCTCAGCTGTCCACTCCTGTCAGCTCTGAGCAGGAGGAGGGAAGGAGGCCGGCGGGCTCGGCCGACTTCGATGATCTATGAATCCATCGGGTATCAGCGCAGAAACACGGGCAGAATCATCAAAAAGTCCCAAAAACAACACACTCCCACTGGTTCCTACGGCAAAGATCAAAAACAGTGAAGAGCAGACACACAGCTGCCTGCGTCAAGTCATACAAAACCATTCTCATGCTTACAACATTGTGTCGTAGCCAAGCATCAACCTCCGAAGCCAACAAGGAGGAACCAAAAACTGCAGTTCCTCTCATGACCACTAGAGTCTGGCTCTAACAGTGAGTCAGTCCCCATAGACTCCCATGTTAAAATGTTTTTACAGCAGAAATAAACATGTTTACAGCCTGGCACAAAAACACTCTCGGCTCGACACACGTCCCTCCTCTTGCCCATTTTTGGATTAGCTGGGAGTTCAGCGGAGTCAGATACTGCCAAGATGGCAACGGTGGCGCAGCTCACTCCAAGCTTCTTCAGAAACCTGTGGGTGACGACCATCTTTATTTACAGTCTATGGTTGTAACCTACGGCCTGTTGACATCTGGGAACACGCACATTTTGGGAAATACACTTGATTAAATTAATGTCATTCTCATACATGTACACCAGCAACCAGCAGCTGGTTAGCTTAGCTTAGCATGAAGACTGGAAGTCCACCAACACATTATATCATCTTTGGGTAATTCGCACAAAAACCAAAGTGTAACTTCCCTCAAGGCGCTACGGAGATATTGCATTTACGATTGCAATTTAGTTATTGTAGTGACTCGAGCTGTATTAAACTGTTTTATGGTTCTGTTCAGACCCTCACAGCTCCTGGTTCAGGTTCTAGTGGAAAAACCAGGAGCTAAAAGAGGATAAAAAGAGGTCAATCCCAGCTGCAGATCAAACCTCTGATCATCTCCGTGAGCGATTCCTCGATTGATGAGCTTTAACCATCAAATGCTGTATATTTATCTCCTGACTGTCAAAAGCATCTGGTCCAGACTTCGATGGATTCAGAGGGTTTCAAATCAAAGATAGAGATGACATAATGTTTGTAAAGTAGTACACCTTCATGTGCAGGTACCGCCATGCTCAGAAGGTTTAGTCACTGAGAGCCTGGTGATGGAGGAAGCAGTTGGAGCGTGAAGGATAATTCCACCTGAAAATAAATTTTGAGCATGATTTCCTTCTTACAACACACAGCGGCAGAGACGAGGGCAGATTGTTTGAGCGTCGAGGCCTCGAAGGAATGTGTGAAGTCGTGTTTTGATTTCCCCACCGTTGGTTTGCATCCATCCTTGACCTCCTCCTGGAAAAAAATACGCCGTCCTTTTACCCCTTCCTCCCCCCCAGCGAGCTGTTTAGACTCCTGTCCGCACCATTTAGACTTGAGGAAAAGAGGGGGGGGGGGCGGCGGCGACTGTTTGTTACTCCAGGAAGCCGCCAAAAACACGGGGCTGAAATTGAATTATGGGAGATTCAAGCTGTCAGGGAAATCATTCTAGTTCAGGACCATTTACAAAACCTGACTGAAGCCTCAGTCTCTCTCTCTCTGCCCCCATCACTGCCTTTCAGAGATTAAATGATCCATTACAGAGGAACCAGTGTTACTTTGACTTGCTTTGAGTAGGGAGGAGTAATTCCATCAGTGTAGGGGTTCCAATAAAGATTGTATTGATCCTAAAAGTGACTTTGGATGCAGCCATCGTCCTGTTAGATTAAATAAAAACATACTGTAATAGAGGCACTGAGGAAATCTGATGAGAAACTGGACATTCATTTAGAAATAAAACACATATTGTTCCTATTTTGTTCCTGATTTGATTTTGTGTACTCTTAAAAGGTGCTATATGTAAGTTTTGCTATTGCTACATAGCTAGCATTAACGTGAACATCTCTTTACTCACCAGTCTAGAAGAAACGTTGAGTTCGGCATCAAACTTCATCCCTTTACTCACCAACAGCTGTCTCCTGAGGTGGAAAGCAACACCAATGCTAACTCTGCTGAAGTTAGCATGCTAACCAGCTAGCACTTTCTCATAGCGAGTCACTGTAGCCTCCAATCTGCCCTGAAGACATAGCGCTACTCATAGGACGTATTATAACCTCTTGTCGTGTTAACACAACGATGGCCGAAGCTCTTGTCGATCAACAATCACTTTCAGTTTGATTATGGATCAGGTCCAGGTTCTATATTAATACTGTGAAAGTATCAAAGCCTCAGTCCACAGAGAAATGCACACAGCCTGTATTCAGAAACTGAGCCTTAAAACCAGCCGTCAGGACTTCTGGAACTTTGTGATGTCACAACAAAGCAGTCACCAAGCCCCGCCCACCTGGACCCACCATCCAAACCTTGCAGGATTTGGTTTCTCTGAGTGTTTTTACCTGAAATCTGCTTTATTTTTATTGGATCACTCAGAAAACAGTCAGCCAATCAGAAGAGAGGCTCAGAGCCTCCTCTCTTCTGATTGGCTCACCGACCTGTTGTTACTAGAGCTGCAGAGAGAAGCCTGAGAGAGGAGATGTAAAACTACACTGAGATGGTTTTTATATCTTCTTATGGATCAACACTTCAAATAAAACACAGAAGAAGAAAACATGGCAACGTCAACTGTTTCTCATTGTGTCTTCTTCTGCATATCCTGGAGTTTCAGTGTTTAAGTCGTCTTGTCTCAGCTCAGTTAAATGATGCTTACATGTGCAGTATGTACTCCACAGGTATGTGTGGGTCTGTATGTAATGTATAACTGTGAGGTCGTGTTTTCCTGTGTGCATCCTGTGTAGGCAGGTAGTGTAGGAGGAGCTGGATGAGGTGTCGGAGGAACATAAATAAGCAATCACAGAAGCAATAAGCTCCGACTGAAGAGAACCAGATGTGAGCAGAGAAAATATTTTTTACTGGAGGCAGAAAAGATGTCAAACATCCTCAAGTAGACGAGACACTTTTCAGAAAAGTGACTCAAAGTGTGACAGTGCTGTTTGCTGGTTTTCCTACAGAGACTCTGTCGTCCTCGGGGGAGGGCTCTGTTGTTGTGCGAGTGTCGGTGAAGGTCCGCTGCTGTGGGCCGTGGGCCGGGTGAAGCCGGGATATCCGAGAGATGAAGTTACTGTGAAAGCCATGAGCGTGTGTAAACTAATCCATCCTCACCCAACTGCCAGGCATAGTCCACGATCCACAGCATGTCTCGAGGCATTCCCTCCCCACGTCTGAGCCGACTCCCCTCGCAAGCCTTAGTCAGGAGTTTATCATTTCTCTTACTGGACGTGACTCAGTTTATGTAGTAATCTGTTATAAAGAAATCATCATGAACGTTTCTAATGTTATTTCAGTTTTTAGGGTGTTTTTATGTGTTTATTTGACGTTACGGGGAAGACAGACAGGAAATGTGGGGAGGGAGGGGAGGGGAATGATATGCAGCAAATGGTCCCGCCAGCTGGGAATCAAACCAGGGACTCGGGGTATTTACACCCATGTGGGTATGCGCCCTGACCACTCCGCTATCAGGTCGCCCTATTTTGTTATTTTACACTGAGGAAGAACAAGTGAAGTTTACCCACTATTTCTATTTCTGTGGTAAGACCTCGACAGAATTATGTACACTTACATTAAGTAATAGTGACATGTCATGTGAATGAACACATCCTGAAATATCACATTTATTTACATGGATTTATGGATTGTGCCCCTGTAGACCCCCCCCCCCCAGTAATCCATCCATTGCTATTGATTTCCTAATTGTTGTTTGTCAGATTCTATATTTATTAATTTGCTGTATGTATGAATGCTGCAGTTTGATTTAAAACTGTAACATACTGTAGTTAATTTTAAATTTTTATACATCAACAATGTATACAACAATTTTTTTTTAAATTATATACAGTATATACACACACACACACACACACACACATACATATATACAGTATATATATATATATATATATAGTATATATATATATATATGTATATATTATATATTTTACCTTTGAATTTTTATCATTGGTTTCTTTTTCTAATGTATAACTTTCTATCTTTACTCTTGTTGTAATTATTTTTCATTATTGCTCACTAAGCTTTTTAACACAACCGGCCAACCTGCATTTCACAGCACATAAATACAAATGTTGATTCTTTGAATATGAATTAACTATTGATAATTCTGTTGATTTTTTTTTATTATGAATTAATCCATTCAGTTATAAAATGTTTGAGAAATGTGTAAGTTTCCAAGTGTCTCTCTTGTTTTGTTGGACCAACAAAAAAATTCAGTTTCCAGTGATTTAAAAGCAGCAAATTTCTCACTTTGTAGATGCTGGAAATATTTGCCATTTTTCATAATAATTAACTTAATGAAGCATCAAAATTATGATTAACCACATATTTTATTTCTGTCAACAAATCAAATAATGAATTAGCTTCAGCCATAACGTACATCACAGAGCTTCCGTTGTTTTTATCATTAATCTGCAGATTCTTTTGCTTTGATAAATTGTTTGATCTATAATTTTACAGGATGATTTCTCAAAATTGCTGAATTTTTTTCCAGCTATAGACGACCAATTAAACCAGCAAATATCCATGTTTAAGAAGATGGAACCAGTTTAATATATTTGGCCTTTTCGCTTAAAAAATGACTTATGGTTTTTAAAATAGTTGCCAATTAATTATCTGTAAATCAGATAACTGTTGAATTGGCAGATTGTGATTGTTTCAGCTACAATGTGCATTACAGCACAGTTTCCTCTGTTGAACCAGCAGGTGAAAACAGTCAAATATTCACTTTAGTGTCGCAGACGACTCTGAGAAGCTGGAACAGTTTACTTCTTTACAGTAACAACATGGAACAAATGGAAGAAACTGTTTGTATGAAGTTTGTGATTTGAGAAGTTAATGTTAGTCTGAGCTGTAATCACTGGATTTGTATTGTCTTCGTTTGGGGGAGGGGGAGGGGGGGGAGTAGAGACGCAGGACTGAATTAAGGGGAGACATAAATCGGAAGTAAAAATATTGGAGAATGTTTTTATGTTGATTAATTGATTAATCAACTAATCATTTCAGTTCTATTACAGATTACAAAAAGTGAAGGAAGAATTAAGAAAAAAAACCTGATATATTCTAAATTCTTTCTCACATGCTCTTGAAAACACTGACGAGCTGTTTGAGATGCCAGTCATTTTACAATGAGGCTCCCACTCACGGCGGCCATGCGGGTTTGAGGTCACTTGTACGGAAAGGGTCAAAGGTCACGGCCCCCACCTGGACGCCGGTGTCACGTCCAGCTGACACGCGTCATAAACACAGAGGATCACCCTGAACATGCGTCTCTGTACGAATCATCGTTTCATATGAACGACTGATGCGTTTCTACGTGAATGAAGCTTCACGCCGTCTCAGATCCAAACCAACCAAACCTTCAGCAAACAGCCCCCCCGAACCCCCCCCCCCCCCATGTTCCCTTGTCTCAGTTGGGGTCAGAGGGTAAGTGTTGTCACATGGTCGACATAGCTCGCCTAATGACTGACAGGTGGACACGAGAGCTGAACTCTGACTCTGGTTACCAATCAGACACTTCAGAGGCGACTGAGCAAACATGAGAACACGTAAACCTGCAACTGTGTCCACACGAGACGGTGGTGGGACAAGTACGAGGCTCCTGAAGTGTAAAAACACTCCGTTATAAGTGCGGACGTTTTGTTGTAGATGTGAGAAGAAAAAGATTATATCGTATTTTTGTGATTTAAAATGTAAATATGCCATCTCTTCTTCAGCGGCTAAAACAACGTTCAAGCTCGTTTTCAACGGAAAAAATATCATTTGCATTAAAATAAAAACCCAAAGATTTCCATTTATGGACTTCCTGAAAAATACAATATAAATAATATTAATTTAAAGTATAAAGTTGTGTCTCAACATCATCATCATCATTAGTGATTTTGTTTCGACTTTTTCTTTTTCTTTTATTTAATTTAATTTAATCATCATCTGAAATTAAAGTATAAAGAGGCATAAATGAAGATTTTACATACAGAAGAAAGAACTTTAAAAATATAACACACTGTAAAGAATTAAACTATTAAACAGTTTATAGAATTTGAGCTCAAACTATTAGTTCATTCATTTTTCATGGTTTCAGCTTCTGCAATGTGACAAACTTCAGCTTTTCCTTGTATTAAATTACAGTAAAGTGAATAAATTTACTGTTAAATGCTGCTTAAATATTAATGCATGGGTAATAATAATCTAAAGATTCAGTGCTTTTATTTTTGATTCTTTAAATACATTTTCCTGATAATAAAAACTTCTTTCATTGCTGCATCTTAATTGGTCTTTGTTTTCTAATTACTGTAAATTTTACATGCAGACTTGATATTTTACTATAAGATAAAACAGACTGGTTGCGACTCCGTTTAAACAACGATCTGTCTTGGCGGTGCAGCGCTGATCTTGTTTCTCTTATGGTATAAAACAGTATAGAACGAGCTGGATATTCATCAACAGGATGTTGTTTATCAGTCTTTCCTGCGCTGAACGTCCCGGGTATCGTTACGAGAAACAGCGAGGAGACTCCTCAAAGTCAAAACTCCAGCAGTTTAGAAAACATCAGTCAATGTGCTCTCATCCCATTAGCCCATCTAAATGTGGAGCCTAAGCTAACCTCTGCTATTACCCCTAACCAGAGAGCAATCAGACCCTGCAGGCCGCCTTCGCCAGACTGGGGTATTTTTAGAAGTCTCATCAACACAGATGATTACCAGCAATACGAACGAGTGTGTGTGCATGTGTGTGTGCAGAGTCATATAGTGGAAACCACAGGGGGGCGACTTTGAGGTTGTAACTGGGGAGGAACTGGGTTGGTTTATTTCTGGAGCATGTGTTGCTCCGGTCCAGGGACCAACAGCTGAGCATGTGCCAGTGCAAGGGCAAGTCATGATGTCTGTCCCCGCGGTGAAGACCAGATGCAGGTTCTGATAATCAACGTCGGTGCTGACCTTCAGCCCGAGCGCACACACTCGGTAACACAATCCCTGCAGTGTGTGTGTGTGTGTGTGTGTGTTTCTCAGCCTTTTATTACTGCATCACTTTCATTTGTCTCCCACAGGAGAAAACCGCCGAGTCCTCTGCTCTGTCATTGTGTGATTGGCTCAAGTTGTTACCAAAGCAAACTGGGTTAGCAAACCGCAGGCCTCTTCATCATGTGAGCAGCAGACGGAGGCCGAGACAGATGAGAAGTGAAGTTGGTGATCATCTACACCAACATGTGAAGGTCTGCGGGGGGACAAATGACAGGGAGCGCAGCAGGATCCGCCTAAAGGGGGTTTGTGGTCAGTGTTGTGCATCTCTGTTCATTATTTCAACACATACATCATCAGCGCACGGGACGTCTTCCCAGTGATGTGCTCATGTACACTGTCGGGGTTTGAGTCCACTGCGGTGAAGAGTTATCTCTTTTATCATCTGTTTGTTGTTGTTAATGTCACAACACTTATTAATCAGAAGCTCAGCTGCTCGTTACGTCTGTAAATCAGGACGGGCACTAAATTAACTAAATTATTATTTACAAAGATGAAGTGAAGCTGGTCGTTTCTATCCGACCTGCTCTGATCGGTGTGAAGCCAAACTTCACAATGTTGCCGAAAAAAGAAAAGAAGATACTTTGAATGTTCTGGGACTGATTCAGGCTTCAAGTGGAGTCGTGAACCACTGACTCCCTCTGCTGGACAGCACCGAGACAGCAGGACGGAGGTGGCAACAACAGAGTTGGACATATCAAGACGTAATGTCCTGAGAAAGTGTGACAGCAGTCTGAAACATATCCTAATCCATCATCCCTAAAGAGGCAAAATAAACAACCACAAAGAGACAAAAAATGACCTCAAAGACCCAAGAAAAATCTCAGAGACACAAAACAACTACAAATACATGCAACACGACCACAGAGAGACACAAATGATCCCAAAGAGACAAGAAAGGATCTTAAAGAGATGCAAAACTACAGCAACTACAAATACACGGAAAACGATCACAACCAACTCTGCTCTTTCAGTCTGGGCGACTTGGTCCTGTGTCAGAGGGGTGGGGGGGGGGGTTTACATGTCTCCGTCCTGGGACCCGTCGTCTCACAATCTGTCCATGGCTGTAAAAAATATGTGGAGATACTAATAGCAGATATTTATGAACATTACTGAACTGAATTACTCGTCAAATTTGTCACCATTTGTCCTGGACGTCACAGTCGTGTCAGTCTTTAAAAACGCATTTTCACACAGGAGGGAAGCCACGCCTCCACTGGTCAAGTAAAGCTTCATGTTTCACTGTTGGAGTTTTCTCCATTTGAAGTCAAACACTGAGCCACACGACCAGCACACCACAACTTGTGGGAGACCCCCCCCCTTCCAGAATAAGATCCTTTGATGAAATGAATATTTGATGAACCTAATGTGTAAAATTGAATGAAATCACTAAGATTCTTTTTAATTTTCCATCTGCTTCAATTCATTTTTAGATAAATAAACTGTGTTTCATGTGGAGTTTGTATTTTTCAGATGTGCCCGACACCTTGGGGGTTGCAGAATCCTAAATCCTAAATAAAGCGTTTACAAAAACATTTGCTGGCAAACTGATTTATTTTGTACAAAATAAATATCACATTCAAACATTCACAATGTGTAAACTGCACAGTCTACAGTACGAAGACAGACACAGACAGAATCACAGACACTAACAGCATCTAATCCGTCAGAGCTGGTTTGATCTTTGACACTTCTGAGGTGAAGTTACAGTTAAAGTTGTATTAAAACAGAAACATGTAGAAGTCGACAACACGGTGAATAAAAGGCTTTAACGACAGTTTACAGCTCGTCTGGCCCGAGCGGTGAGGTCGATGTTGAACGTGTCACAGTCCCGACCTTTCAAATAATGAATCAGGGTCCAACTCCGGTCTACTTCAGACCCCCGAGAGGAACCTGTGTGTCAGTGTCGACACTCGTTCACCTTCACTCACTCTCTCACACACAGATGTTCACTCAGTTTCTCTCGGTGTGGACGACCACTCCGACACAAACGTCCCCGGCTTCCATAAAACTCCTTCAGACGTGAGGACTCCTCATCAGGAGTCTCCAGTCATGATGGTGACAAACTCATCCTGGTTTACTGAAGAGAGAGATGGAGTTCAGTCAGGAAATAACTTTAAACATTAGTGCTCATTTTGAACATTTTTAAAGACTTCTTTTTATGTGATGTCGTCTTTTTAATCGTCTTTTTATCGTCGCCCTTTTATTGGTTTTACTCCCTCTAATTATCCTTATTTATACTGAATTATATTATTTGTCCTCCCTCTGTAACTCTACCTTATCTCTGTCCTGCTTTTGACCATCACTGCTTTTCATTTGTTTGTCGAAGCACTTTGTAAACTCTGTTTTTAAAGATTCTATATAAATAAAGTTATTATTATTAATAATAAAGGAAGAATAACTAACGATTGTTTTTCAATTATCAGTCACTGAGAATAACAGTATTTACATCTGTCCATGTATCTGCCATGTGCCTGAAGTCATAAATAAATCATGTTGAACTGGAGCATTGCGCAGACTCACAATAATAATAGTAATAATAATAATAATAATAATAATAATAATAATAATGATAAACTTTATTTATATAGCACTTTTATTAACAAGGTCACAAAGTGCTTTACAAAAAGAAAAGGGGGGATTAAAAACAAAAGAAAAACAAACATCATAAAACAGAAGTAAATTACACGAAAATATAAATTGTCTGTATCGTGGGAAAATAAAAAACATCTCAAACACTCATAAAAGCTTTCTGATAAAAATGTTTTAAGAGGAGATCTAAAGACACTAATGATGCTTCCTGTCTGATCTCAGTAGGTCAGTGAAGGTTAGGACCTAGGAATGACCAGCAGACCGTGGTACTGATCACTTACTTTCACCGTCTCCGTCGGTGTCGAACTCGTCGATCATGCTGCGCAGCTCCTCGTCGCTGATGTTCTCCCCGAGCTCTCGAGCGACTCGCCTCAGGTTCCTCAGACTGATCTTTCCAGATTCATCATCGTCGAACAGCTTGAAGGCTTTCATGATCTCCTCCCTCGGGTCTCGCTCCAGGATGCGATCAGTCACTGCAGAGAGACGTGAACGTGTTCAGGATTTACACATTTATTCAGACCGTGCGTCACGATTCATCAGTGTCTCTCTACATGGAGATTCAGTTGAACTGAAACTCACCCACTTCGTTGAAATCCTCAAATGTTATTTTGCCGTTTCCCTCTCGGTCATAGTCTTTAAGAATCTTCAGAACATCCACTTTCTTCACTTCGAAGCCGAGCGCACGCATTGCCACCTGTTGGGAATTTTTGACTGTGATATACATTTAACCTATATACCTTAAGGATCTGAACACTTCTCGATCGATGGATTCATTTACACCCTCGTTTATTAATGGTTTGGGTCTCTGTGCTGCTTGCTAAGATTCTCTAACCGACCTGGTTGTTAAATCACATTGGTATCTTCAATAAATTCACTCCTTCATACAGGGCGTCACCTTCCTCCTAACGCACCAGAGAAAGTGTCGGCATCATTTTCTGCCTCCGCCAACTCGGCTCGGGCGATATCCGAAATGCAATATCTTCATACATGTCAGCCCAAATATCTTGAGAAATTATATCAATACATTTTTGTATTTCACGTTTCAGTTGTTTTTTTTGTTTTTTTTTAAATCACACATTAATTAAGTATATTATTGAGTTTTATGTTTCAGGTATAAGCAATGCTGCCCATAAACAGCAGTTCAAAGTTTTATTTGTCACATGCCAAGATACAATGTACAGTAAGCAAAGCAGTGAGATGAGGACAGACTGTGCGAAACTGCAAAAGAATTCTGATATGATGAAAAATATCGCATATGAAGGAAAATATCAAGATATTTGATATTATCAAATATCGACCACAGCCTACCGGCAACCAGGGGAGTTGAAGGAAAGATGGTCACAATCTCTCCTTTTGTTCCTGAGCTACACGGTTGAATAATGGCCAGAGGTGTTTTTGCAGAACATTATGATATCACAGTTAAGTTGACCTTTGACTCCCAAAATCTACTCAGTTCATCCTCGAGTCCAAGTGAATGTTTGCACCAAATGTGAAGAAGTTCCCTCATGGCGTCCCGGAGATATACAAACATTCGGCCTTTTGAAAATGATGTGAACTGTGTGTGAAGACATGGACGGATGAATTGAGTCTTAGAGCCATGTTATGATTAGAACTGCGACGATTAATGAATAAATTGATTAGTTGATCAACATAAAATTAAGCGGCAACAGGTAATTTTTCCCACATATCTTCTTTAATAGTTGTATCTCTGGCAAGTTTGATAAATATTGTGATACAACCATTTACAGTGAGTTTTGGCCACGAGAATCCCAGTGAGAAAATGTGACACTGACATATCGCTGCTAGAGACAGAGGTTAACCCACTAATTAACAACAACATCAGCCCTGGTTGTCCCGACCACAGTCTTGTGAAAAGATGTGAGACAGAAGCTGCTTTACTTAGATTTTCTATCTTAGTAAACAAATGACTAAAAAGGTTTTTAATAAATAAAAAGGTCCACTGTGAGGTTGTATTTATAAAGTTATTTTTCATTATTCATTACTGATGGTACATTAATCATAAGCATCTTCACAACATATTTGAATGTGAATTAAATTAAAATATGAACAGTATTTTAAAGTCAGTGCAGGTCATGAGTATTGAATAAAATATCTGACTGACTGGTGTCCCTGGTTGCTCACCTTCAGCTCGTGGTAATCAATTTCTTTGTCTTTGTCGGTGTCGAACAACTCGAAAGCTTCTTTGATTTCATGTTTCTGATCCTCGGTCAGCTCTCTCCGCTTCTTACGTTTGGTTTTGTCGGCCACGAGCTCCGTTCTGGAAAGACAGACACCAGTGTTACAACTAATCCTGTGAGCCCCTCAGGAAGTTCAGCGTTATTACTACTGCAAACATTTTATTATACTTTATCAAATATAGCAGAAAAAAAATGGAATTACCAAAGTTAGGGTCACAAATTTAGATGGCTGTGATTGCACAGCGTATATAGGTCTGTTTATATTTGGTCAACACCTCTTCCATAAAGGTGATCCTCTATTGTCAGAGCATCAGAGGGGTCACAGATTTGAACCTATTTAAATACTAAACACTAGTTTAGGTAGACGAAGCTGAAGTTTTTCATAGATTCCCATTTGGCAGTTAAAAGGGAAGGTTAAATTACATATGCCAACCATATTTTAATCCAGTTATCAATGTGAAAGGAAGTTATCTTCATTAAACTTTACTCCTTCGCCCACTTTCACATTTTTGAAACCTTGATTTTATTTATAAAAGCAGGGACTTTTGATTTCACCATTTTTCCATCCAGACAACAATAACAATAAATTTTTTTTTTTTTAAATTTACTCATTCAAACTTGGATTTGATGAACAGGTAGACTCCAGTAACTGGAAATGTAAAACGCAAGTTCAGGTTTGTGATTTCACCACATAAGACCGGGTCTAGATCACAACCTACTATACCTGGACTTGTCAAATCTGGACTAGACTGTCCCAGAAAAGCTAAAGACTGTTTAAAAAAAGTTGTGAAACCTTTTATTATATTTGTGAAAACACATAAAAAAGGGGCAATTTCACTGCTTTTTCGTCCATTTAGACCACCTCAGACAAGGTCCAAATTCAAAACCAGCAGTTGTCATTTAAGTTCAGTTTCTGCCTCTCGTGTATTAGCACACACTCGGGTCACAGAGGTAACCATCGGACTTTTAGCTAACAAAGTAAAGTGATACAGAGCGACAATAAAAACATTTGAAAGGACAGAGGATTCACTTTAAACTTAAAAAAAGGCAACAACAAAAAAAAACCGGCCTTGACACCAACTACTTCCAAACTGTAACTTCATGAATGAGCTAATTTTGGGGATGTTTCTGTTTTCAAACAGCCAGCCGTGCTAACGCGAGCTAACGTGAAGGAGCTAGCCTTCGTGCTACTGCTAGCGCTTTAAAATGAACTGTAACGGAGAAAATGAAGAGAGCGGTGGAGTCAGACGGGTTTACCTCAGAGACAGACTCATTGTCGGTGGATTTGGAGATTTATAAAACCTTAAAATCCAACGTTAAACACAGAGAAGCCAGGAACCGGCAACACAACAGATACGTTTATCCGCGCTCCCTCAGAAGCCTCCCATTGGTCGGCTGTTACCGGGCAGCAGCAAAGTGTTGTCTGATTGGTTTTACGTCATGGCTTCTTTTTTTCTTTTTTCAACAAACTTTATTGAGAACCAACTAAGGTGAACAGTACCATTCAGAAATTATTCAAACTTTTTGCACCTTTTATGTTGCAGATTTAATTGTAAATTAATAAAAATTACAATTTTTGTCAATTGTATTTCCATTTTATCCATAATTATTACTGTTCAACTATTATTGTTATCTATCTATCTATCTATATCTATCTATCTATTTATATATCTATCTATCTATCGATCTGATGAAAAAAGTCAACACATGTTTAGAAAGTTTTGCAATTTTATTTAAAAAAAAAAAAAAATCAAAAACTTAAATCTACCATTTACTACAGTATTCAGACCAGTAATCGAGGATATTGGGGAAGCTGCTTTGGCAGTAGTTACAGCTTCATGTCTTCTTGGTTAAATCTCTACAGGTTTTTCACACCTGGATATGGGCAGTTTATTTCATTCTTTCTTCCTGTCAGACTTCATGTGAAGCGTCTCAACTGCCATCTTCAGGCCCCTCGGGTTTAGGTCTAGACTTTGGCATTGTTGTCATTGTTGTGCTGAAAGATGAACTGTCGTCCGAGTCTCGGGTCACATGGACTCTGGAGGAAGTTTTCTTCAAGTATCTCTCTGTATTTGGCTGCATTGATCCTTCCTTCAGTTCTGACCAGTCCCCCCCCCCCCCGCCCATAGCATGATCCTGCTACCACCATGTTCACTGTAGGGCTGGTGTAATGAGCAGTACCTGGTGTTTGGAGTTCTGCCCAGAGGGTTCAGTTTTTGTCTCATCAGACCAGAGAATCTCCTCTGAGTCCTTTAAACGGTGTTTGACAAACTCCAGGAGACTGTCATGTGTCTTTTACTCAGAGTGGCTTCTGTCTTTCCACTTTACAATAAAAACCTGATTTGTGGAGAGCTGCTAAGATGGTCGTCTTTCCGGCTGGATCCCCCATCTCTACAGTGAACTTCTGAAGTTCTGTTAGAGTGACCGTTGGATTCTTGGTGACCTGCCTGACTAAGGCCCTTCTTGCCCTGTTACTCAGTTTTGCCGGACGCCCAACTCTAGGAAGAGTCCTGGTGGTTCCAAACTTCTTCCATTTCACTATTATAGACGCCACTGTGCTCCTGGGAACACTCAAAGCTTTAGAAATGGTTTTATAGCCTTGCCCAGATTTATGCCTCGCCACAATTTTATCACGGAGGTCTACAGAGAGCTCCTCAGACTTTATGGCTTGGTGTTTGTCTCTGTTGCTCACCTTCAACTTGTGGTAATCAATTTCTTTATCTTTGTCAGTGTCCAACAACTCGAGGGATTCATTAATTTCATGTTTCTGATCCTTGGTGAGTTCTTTCTTTCTCTTACATTTGGTTTTGTCGGCCACAAGCTCCGTTCTGGAAAGATAGACGCCAGTGTTACAACTAATTCTGTGAGCAACAAACAAAAACACACAAAAACCACTATACCTTAACTTCAAATGAGGACTACATTAACAAGGACAGCATAAAAGACTATAAAACTATTGATGAAAACATATCAAATGTAGACTACATTATCCCAAAAAAGTTAAAGATCAGAAGAAAGAAGAAGAAGAAGAAGAAGAAAGAAAAAAAAAAAAAGAAGAAGAAGAAGAAGAAGAAGAAGAAGAAGAGAAAGAAGAAAGAACAACAACAACAAACAACAACACACAACAACAACACAACTAGAACTAGAATCCAGTCCAGTAGGTGGCGGTATGCGCCTGTAAACTGGTTGCAACCACCAATCAAACCAAAGAAAGACGCCGAAGAAGAAAAAGCCGGATTTGTTTTGTATGTGAGGACGCTGGTTGTGTTGATCGACAACAAACCGTTTTGGAATTTACGATCTTAAAATTCTTCAAATCACCGACAATGAGTCTGTCTCGAAGTAAACCAGTCTGACTCCGCCGCTCTCTTCAATTTCTCTATCACAGCTTTTAATGCGCCAAGAGAACACGAAGGCTAGCTAATTCACGTTGCTTAGCGGTTAGCATGTTTGCTTATTTGAAAACGAATGATCTCATTCACTAAATTACAGTTGAAGTGATCTTAATGCAGCTGTTACAGGTAACGAAGTTTAACGGTGTTTACAGTAAAATCCCATCAGATTCTGTGACCTCTACAGTAATTTCTGCTGCAGTGTAATCTCACACCAGACGTTATTTATCGCATATTTTAATTAATAGCTAAAAGATTGTAGTAGGTACGCTCATTCACGGTGCACCTCGGATAATCCCATTTCCAGTGTTTGAGTTGTTCTTCTGACTTCGGTGTGTTCACGTGCTTAAATCAACATGATGTTTTGCATTTTATTGATCTGAACATTAAATCACGTTTGATAGCTGTTTCCAGTATTTGCGTTAGTTATTATCATGTCACAGCTAATAAATACTTTTCTAACTAATACCAACTCACTCTATGTCGACAGCACCTAATGGTTACAACCCAATACATATTATTATTAAAACTTACATAAAGAATTATATGCAATACGTGAATTTGTACCGTTTATATAAAAGTTCCCAGCTTCACCAAACATCGACAAGTCCCTGAGTTGTTGTTCCAACTTCAGTTTTCACAAAATAGAATAAAAGTTTTGCAACTCTGAATTGTGTTTTTAAAC